ACCGAGCAGTCGTAAGATCGAATCCACGCGACGGAGTGAGCTCCCGTCGCTTGTCCCAGCTCCCGCCAACCTAGCGGTTCGAAAGCGTGTAAATGCGAGTAGATCAATAGGGACCACCTCGGTGGGAAGGTAACAGTGTTCTGTGTCTAGTTGCACTGGCCATGTGACCATGGAAGATTGTCTTCGGACAAAACACTGGCTCTATGGCTTGGAAACGGGGATGAGCACTGCCCCCTAGAGTCGAGCACGACTGGACAAAAATTGTGAAGGGGAACCTTTACCTTTACCTTACCACCCAGAGAATGCTTTAAGCACTCTTGGGGGAGGGGCTTAAAGCAGCACACTTTCCTTTTACCTCACCTAGGTTATTGTGAACCTAAATGCCAAAATGGAGTACTTTGTATTGCTAAATGATGAACTATCATTAAAAAAATTTAATACTAATATTTTGGAACAATAACCAAGGCTCCTGAGTAAATGAACTTCCAATTCAACTTGATTTTCAAAGCTCCAACTAAACGTTTGTTTCTAAACAGAAATCATGAACTGAATGGTCGAGTTATGCTGACAAAAGAGTTATTCTAGGAGGAGCTGCTAAATTGTAGAAACCATCATGACCAGTTCCCTTTCCAAAAGGTTTCTAGAAAGGACTGCTCCTCAGGGTGTTAGGGTAAGAGAAAATATTGAGGAGTATGTTGCAGACGGAAGCCAAAATGGCCAAATACTAGAAGTATTTGTATTTCATTGAGAGCTGCTTCTTAGCATAAAAACCTGAGAGAAGGAGATCAGTAAAGAGCTGGGATGCAAATACACTTTTATTAGCCTTCGAACTTGACAGGCTAGAGGAAAGCTTCAGCAGCTGCATTAGTAAACCTGGCAGATCTGTGCAAAGAATACAGTATCCTTAGAAGCAGGGTTGCCAGAATTTAATGTCAACAATTAAAATTTATTTTGATCCTCACCTAGTGTTTATTACTGTTTGTATACACAACAGACCTTACTAATACAGTGATGCACTATTAGATGGAATTACCATCTGTTCGCTGTGAAATGCTGGCATCTGTCTTAGCTTCTAAAACTAAAATGATATCGCTTCAAACAAAACAAAGTTAACTGCTCTTTACTTACCAACAATTATATTTTTCCTTCACGCATGCAGATGTGCATGCACATACTGACACGCTTCCTCTTTCTCACACACACACAGAGGAAAGCGTTTTTTTATTACAGCCAATGTGGCAACATTTCTACATGATATATCTTTAACATTAAGCTGTATGGACCATCTGTTTCATGGGCTCCTGTGGTGCCCTGTTTTACACAATGGCAAATGGGGAGCCATAGGTGTTTAAAACAATGTTGTAGCTTATCAGCTATATATTAGGTTGGAAGAAACATTTTTAAAATATTACATAATTAAAATATGCAGAGTATAGCCCCTTCTGCTAAAATATAGTATGCTTTGACAGCCAATGCATGTTAAAAGATCTGACAAAAGTTAAATAGGTAAAATTATAGTCTTTTCCTTTGACACAGCTGCTACAGGTACCACAGTGACACCTTTAGGAAATGTATACTATGACTTTTAGCCTCCAGTATCTATATTGTAGAGCACTGTGACATGAAGGCCTGCACTGTCGATTTGTTATCTAAACTTTTTTAGACTGAATTGTTAAGGAGAGACTCTTCAATGAGTACATCAACATACAAGAATTCTGACTCACCAAAGACATGATATTTACATACTAATATTATACCAAAGACATTGGTTTTTTTTTTTTGAAAGGTTTGGCATCTATTCCATATATCAAAAAATAATAAATTCTGTCATGCTAGTGTTTAATGCTTGTACACAGTGCATTAACTGTAACTGTAGTACATTTATTTGTGCTAGAGTAGACTTGAAAATGATTAAAAAATCAATAATTTCCTGTCAGTGAAGGAAGTGTTACAATGCATTTAAGAATTTAATTTTACCAGCCCTATAAAAGTTTCAAATTTGGGTAGCAAAGATGCTATAATTACAATGCAGGCAATTCCTTTTTATTAGGAGAAAATGTTTAAGCAAGATGTGGTTTTTGTTGTCAAGAATAATTGGCTATGTGTATTCATTTTAACATTATGAATTTCAGTGTATGTTTTTCACTGTTAGTGTCTCTCAGCTGAACCAGAAGACTCAACCCTAACATTCACATGTAAAATGCTGACATAGACTGAATTGCTCTAAAGGTGAAGTTTCAACTGTAAAGACGTGTTTTCTTTTAAAACTTGTGCATTAATACCACATTTCATTAGTGCTCAGAACTACTTATGCAGGGAAGGCTTGTGACCTCACACTGCATTACTTCAATTTCAACATAGTAAATTCTGAGCATAGCAGTATGATACTAATTAGATTGTGAAGTCATAAATGATCTTCATGCAAGAATTTACAATGCAAAGCACGGTCCGTGGGTTTTTGTCTCCCATCATTCCTGCTGCCAAAAGTAATATTTTATTATGTTATAGGAAATGTAATCGCAACATACTATGGGTTAATGCAAGCAAGCAAAGACATGCTAATGGTCTTATGTGCGAGAATCTTTAATGATATGTTGTTAATTTATTACAGATGAAGATCTTTGCAGTTAACTCTTAGCACAACTCTCTGAAGTAATTTGCAAGACACATATTTTAGTTCGTTATGCCCTGTAATCACAGAAAAAAAAATTATTTTTGATACATGCTTTTGCAGACTCACATGATAAATTTATGAAGAAATGTTTGCTAGGGATGTGTGCTCTTTGGAATTTTGACTGTTGCTTCTCAAAAGGAATTAGCTCCAAAACGAATTAGTTTTGTTTCTCATTGCTGCATGTGGCTTGTCAATATTAATGTTACTATTCTAGCAAATATAATTCACTGCATTCTCCATTATTAATGTCACTTGTGTTGCTTTAAAAAAAGTTAAATCTCACTGAAGGTTCTCTGAAACTCTAAAACCTGACCTTTTTGCCTTTTTCTTAATCAACCTCCTTTCTCTGTTTTAAAATAAAATCAAAGTCATATGACACACACGGTGTTTCTCCTAAAGGATACATTCAAAGGAGTATCATTGATTATTGTTACTGCCAAAAAGAACATATAATAAGCTCTGATGCTACTAATAAAGCTTGAATGGTATTTTAAGACTCGTATAAGCATTCAAGAATAGCTGTTGTGGGTTTTTCGGGCTCTTTGGCCATGTTCTGAAGGTTGTTTCAAGAATAGCCATTATACATTCATATAATTTGTGAAGTATTTTCTCTTTGTTCACTATAAATATGAAAACCTCTGTTTTCTCTTATCAAGCTTACTTGTACAATCTAAAGGACTACTGACATGCATGATCCTCAGATACAGTGGTGCTTCGCAAAACAAATTTAATTCGTTCTGTGGTTAATGTTGTCTTGCGAAACACGTTTTCCCGGAGGAATGCATTGAAATCTAATTAATCGTTCCTATGGGCAAAAAAGTCAGAACTAAGTCAAATTTGGTTTACAAAGGGTTTATTAAGTGCTCTTCAAAGCCATACATATTGTGCAGATGATTTCAAAAATTTCAATCAAAAAACTTTAACTTTTTAAACATCATAGAAAAACATCTAAAAATCAGCGAGCATGAGGCAGGAACAAAAAATGGAAAACATTCGTCTTGCAAAGCATGGCCATAGGAACATTTGTCTTGCAAGTCATCAACCCCATTGGCAAAACCATTTGTATTGCGAGTTTTTCGTCCTGCGAGGCATTTGTCTTGTGAGGTACCACTGTATTTATTCATATTGTTAATTAGTTATAGGGAAACTATGAATGTCATACTACTAAGTTCTTACAAACCAAGGGAAGCTAACATCCTACAATAAAATTGCAAAATATAAAAACAAATAATACAAATAAAGCATTACATACTGTACCTGGTATATCTCCTCTGTGTAATGGACATGGATGTACTTGCAAACTTGATACATGGGATATTATTAGAGATGGGGTTATTCGTACTGTATTAGTATACAAATTAGTATTAGTATACGAATTAGTATCTCTAGATAATATCCTTCCTTGTATTGTTTAATTGCTATGCACTGAGAGATCACCACAACACTCAGTGGGTGTTTCTGTCTCTGTTTTCCTGTGGGCACAAATAAACATAATGGTGAATGGAAGTCAGTGCACCTCCCCATATCTATAACCAACCCTTTTCCCTTCGTCTCAGCCATGGTACATAGGCAAGCATCTCAAGAGGAAAAAGCAAATATCATGCACTACGAGCAAACCCTTTTAATGAATACATTTATACACATACCTGATCAGTTATGATGTGATTTCCATTCCTGGAATAATTCTGTGCAGCCAAGTCAATTTTGACTTATGCCAATCTTTTTAAGGTTTTCTACGTTGAGAGAACTCAGAAGTGGTTTACCATTCCCTTCTTCTGGGGGATGCTATGGAACTGTGCAGCTTGCCCAAGGCTACAAAGACTGGCTTTTCTCTCAGGACTCACAGTGGGAAATAAAACTGCCAACTTCTGGCTTTTCAGCCATGTAGCTAATTCTTCAGTGTAAACTGAATGTATTGTTCCTTTATTCTTTGTCACATTTCCGGATATTCTTGATTACACTCTGGTAACAATTATGTGATCCTATTAACAAGAATTAATTTAACTTGTGGCGCATGTATATTACCTTTATGATGCTAAAGTTAAACTACTTTGTCAGCAGTCAGTGAGAAAAAAAGAGAGTATAACAACTAGTCAAATGAAATACTGGAGTGCTGCAATATAGATTCTTTACCAAAATGAAAGTTACTGTCTGTGTTGGTATGGGTAGCTCATAGAGTTCACAAGCTATTTCCAATCATGGCTATAGTTATAATAACTGATGCGGCTTTCCTCAGGATCACTGTATTATCCATAAAAAACTACCAAGTTTTTTTGGTAAACCAGTATTTTCTTCTCTCTCTCTCTCTTTTTTTTTGTATTAATAGCTCCAGGACAGCTAACTGCCCCTTACATTGAAGGAGTAAATAGCACAGTAATAAAGATAAGTTGGAATGAACCTGAGGAACTCAATGGGCTCCCTCCAATCTATCACCTGGAGAGAATGGATGCATCTTTAGCAGCATCAAATGCAACTGTAATAAAAGGAATCCGTTTCCCAGGAAATGGGTATTATAAATTTCCAAGTTCTACTCTGCCGGCCAACACGTATTTTACAGGTAAGGAGATAGCATTGGTAATGTTTAATGCAAAAGGCTTTGGTTTTGTTTATAATACAACATAATATTTAGAGTGAAATCTTAAATGGCCAAGATGGCCAAGGACCACCTAAGCTGACTCTAAGCTAGCTAAAGCTGTGCTTCATCCAAACCCTACACAGCCTCAAGATGTTGGAAATTACTTATGGCTCCCTTCACTCTGGCCTAGCTTGTTCATTCTGTGCACAGATCTCTGAGAGAAGAAGGAGGTTCTCTGGGAAAAGAGCATTTATATTTTATTTATTTATTCTTTCAATTTAATATACTGCTACAATTAATTCCACAGCACTAAGGGCAGTTGACAATAAAATACCAAATCAAGGTAGTAAATGTAATAAAAACCATATAACAACCAACCACATAAAAACATTGAAGTCACCCTCTTTTAGCCCTCTTCACCTGGCACATTGTTGACTAAGGGTTGTGCTTCTCAAATTTTTGTAGACTATATTCTTTCCTTAAACTGTCATTCAAAAAGTTTTAGTGTTTAGTGTTTCAGCCTGTGCAAACATTGCTGTCAATTTATTTCCTTTGCAAATGTGTTGGGTTTCTGGGTGCTGTGGCCACTTCATGGCCACTGTGCTTGTACCCTTTAAATAACAAAATCTTTTACAGATATATATTGATAAATTGGCTTGTAGCAAGACAGGTGATCCCTTAGATAGCCAATTGACAGTTTCTACTGTTAGCAAAAACAACATGAATGCAGCTCAAAAGAGACAGCCTTCTCCCCGCTTCCCAAGAGGTCACTTCCTGCTTTGAATTGTAAAGAAAGGAGCTTTTCGTCTCTTTCTTTTTTAAACCTGCTCTTTTTTCAAAACCCGCTTCCTCCTTTCCACACTGTGCAAAAGACTCGCAAAGTATTGTGCTGTTGATTTATTTCTTTCACAAAAGGGGTTGGGTAAAGTAAGGAAAGGAGTAAAGGACAAAAGGGGAGGAGATTGAGACCTATCTTATTGCACTTTAATTTTTAATTTGGAAAAAGGACAAGGGGCGTCTGAATACCCCAGGAAACAGTAGAGTAGGACATGGCAGCAGGAGCTCCAGGAAAATCCTCTCAGTCCTCAATCCCTCTTCAGCATAACATCAAAGAGTCTGGGCAAAGCAAGGAACCACTGGCACCACTGCAAACATCCCATCCCACGTCAAAGTCAATCAATGTGAGCATGGACATTCACAACCACGTGAAGCTCAGTGGCTGCCCCATGGACCCACAGGTACTGCTAGAACCCTTGGCTACCCCTGCCGTAGACCACCTATCCAGGGTGGACCCTCATGCAGACAGCCTGCTGCTGAACCTGATGGTGTGTGCCCCACCATTGTCTGCCAACTGACACACTGCCCACTCACCCATCGATGGCCCCTCTGATGCCCTCAAATTGATCTCTTGGAATGTGGCTGGGTGGTACAGGAAGCTGCAGGACCCTGAGTTTATCAATCTTCTCTAAGGCTTTAACATTATCCTACTTCAAGAAACGTAGGCAGTTCATTCTGTACTACTTGCAGGATATGCCTCATATTCCCTTCCAGCTCAGAGGCTCAAGGCAAAGGGCCGCCTGTCTGGGGGCTTGGCAATACTGGTTGCCGACTGCTTATCTTCAGACTATGTTCTCACATTTGATGGTAGCTGCAAAATCCAGGCTATAAAACTTAAAACTAGGAACCAAGGAATATTGATAGCCAATGTTTACATGCACCCAGCCTCCTCTAAGTCACATAGAGTCTGTCAATGGGAAGCCTTGAGTCATGCCTTAGATGACCTAGATCTTAGGTTTCTAGGGATCCCTCTTCTGCTAGCAGGATATTTCAGTGCTAGAGTAGGTCAGGGTGAGGCCATATTCGATTGTGTATTGGATACATCTAGTGATGCCTCCCTGTTATATCCTTATGTCCCAGAAAGGCAGTCCAAAGACCTTCAAATCAACAATGCGGGGACTCATTTGGCAAAACTCTGTCTACTTAGAGGCTTAATTTGGCTAAATGGCCTTACACAGCTCAGTAATGATGGTGAATTCACATGCATTTCCCCCCCTGGATCCAACACGATTGACTATATCCTGATCCCTGTTTTCCTATTGACTATATCCCTGATCCCTGATCCCCTTGCTAGTGACCATCTTTCCTTATGTTGTAGTCTTGCTCTTGATACAGTCTCTATAGTTTTGCCCAATATTGCACTTCATGAATGCCCATTGATCCTACCCAGAATGAAATGGAACTACAGAGCAAAGTCTCTCTTTGAAAAAGCAATTAAGCAAGATACTACACCTCAAGGCTCCCTCAACTGGCTATCTTCAGTAAACCCTGAAGGCTTTGAGAACCTAACCGACACTATAATAGCTAGTTGGCCAGTTCCCTCAACAATCTCAGAACAGACTGGCCCCAGGCATGTGTCCTACGCTAGACAAGGAATGTCTTGCCTTGAAGCTGGATATGTGGAGGATCTATAATAACTACAGAACCTCAAGGCTCCCTCTACAGTATTTTGTGCTGGGAAACCACTAAGAATAGCCATTAAGAAGTTCTATTATAGTTTTATTCTGGACCACTGGTCTCATCTAGCCCAGGCTATCAATACAGGCAACAACAAAAAAATTTGGGTGGTGGTTTCAGGTTCTTCCATCTTCAATAAGAACTCACAGGACCTTCTCTTTATACCAGCTGGGACATGGGAACAGCAGTTCTTGGCCACTTCGTATGATAGCTGCAAGCCCACTGTGCCAACTGATCTGCTCCTACCCAGAGATCTCACAGAATGGTCCCCAGTATTTCCAAAAGATTTGGCCCAATCTATCAAGAAAATAAAGACCCTGGGGTTGTCACCAGATCTGCTGGGTTCAATAACCCCTTCCAAGGTATTCCATACAATCAAAAATAGAGTTCTGGATATTAAGGGTCATTGTTGTCATCGTTTAGTCGTTTAGCCGTGTCCGACTCTAATGCAAAGGCAACACAGCATTCTGTCTCAGAATGCCAAGCCATAAATATGTGTCTGGCTGTTCCCTGCCACATGTTAGCTGTTGAATGTTTTATCTGCATTTTACTGTGTTTTAATTTTGTACAGTATGCTGATAAAGTTTCTTTCTGTCTGTCAGTAGAGAAAATGAATTGATTCAACACTAAGAGCCATGTAGCCTGCTATGATTATTCAAATAGAAATAAATGAATTGATAAAGTTAAAAACAATGGGAATACTCCTGTCAGTATATATACCACATGACATAGTGCTGCACAAATGGGCCAGTTCCCCACTATATTTTCAGTTGCCCCTCTCCCATGGCAGAAGACCGAATTACCTCTATCACTTAGAGCATTCACAAATAGAAATAAATGAATTGATAAAGTTAAAAACAATGGGAATACTCCTGTCAGTATATATACCACATGACCCCAAACAAAGGTATCAAAAGAATCGGTATAACTGGAGTACTTTTGGCAGGTGTGATTAGGTCCTTAGATATGTTACTTTTTTTAAAATTCTAGCTCTCAGATTCCCCCAGCCAGTATGGCTAATGGAAGTTCTCTCTCTCTCTCTCTCTCTCTCTTTCTCTGCAGCATATGAGTGCAGCCCAATTGTCAAACATGAACATAATCAGCTATGGAACAGAAGCCAGAGTGAGAAACCTTATTGGTAAATGCTCCTCTTTTTGCTGAACAGAATTTATGCCAATTATACCTTATGAATTATCCCCATCTTAGTATAAAGTACCTTATTATGTTTTCTCTCATCTCTATAAACAGATAACATGGATACTGGCATAAGAATTGGCGATCAGTTTTACAGAGGGTGTTTTTGACTTATGCTTTTCTTTCCTTTATCCTACGGACAGTGCTGTAGCCACTATGAACTATGAACTGGCCTTTGTTAGAAAAAAGAATTCAACTCTCCCTTCATTTTTTTTTAAAATCCTCTTCTGTTAGAATTGTAGCTTTGGACATTAAATGAATTCACAATTCTTTCTTGAACAAGATATTTCCTTTCTTCCTTCTTCATAATCCCAAGAAGCCTGAAGATAGGGTGAGAGGGGAGCTGGAAACACTTTAAAAGGGAGTGATCCAGCACAACAAAGTGAATTGTACTGCTTTGTGAACAAAACATCTTAAATTTTTTTCTAATGTGCACAATAGGGACTTGTGCTACAAATATGTTGAGATGACCCTGACAGAATGGTATTGCTGTGTTAATTTTCCCCCTCCAAAACAGGAGTGTTTTTTTTTGTTAGGGCATAGGCAATTTTTACTTGCATCAAACATTTCCTTTTTCTATCTTTTCCTTTCACTAAAAAGATACAGATTTATTTAGGCCTTTGTAGAAAATCTGCAAATCTCCATTTAAGAATGTTTTCAAACGTATCTTTTCATAGACTTCGTTATATAAGACATTATGGGCATTAAAACACAGTCCTACAATCATCTCACCCTAGTGCCAAAATATGTTACTAAATTCACAAGCAGCAATACTTCTGAAATGCTCCACTTTTTTGTATGGCTCGCAGAGGACAGACATGATGGAACCAACAAGCAGCATATTGAACAAAGAAGCAAAGGGAAGACATTCGTTGATTTCAATTGTCTGTCATGAATATCACCATGAAACAGTCCTATGAATATTATCAAAGCATGTTTCATCCCATAATTGATATTTGAGAAAGATCAAACTAATATCTTGTCTAACTGTGATGAGCCTTATCAAGTGAATGACTTCTAGTGTTAAAGAGAGGATTAAAATCTGTTACCCTTATTAGATTTAAGTATTTATGGTCTAAAATCAATCATATCATAGACTCAACAACGCGATGTTTGTCAAAACGATCAGGCAGGATTGAGCTGTGGCAATGTAGCACTGAACAGATTTCTGTCTGGAAGAATTATGGTAAACATATGTAAAATCAAGTATTCACATGTTGGGTGCTATCTTTATGCAGAATATAACCTAAACCCTGAACAGGTGTATGTAGAGT